CTGCAACAAACCAAAGAGTTGATTTTAGTCAAAGAAACAGGATGTAAAAGAGTCAGGAAGCACGCAATTTCGACAGAGGAGGTCAAAGGTGACTCTCCCAGACCCATCCCGACAATTTCCAGCTATTTTCAAATTTTTCATTTTTGGCCAAATTTACAAAGGCTATAGCCTTTGTGTTTTTAGCGAAAATTGATGGGTCCGGATTTCGACGGAAACGTAGTCAAATCGACAGAGGCGGCCCAGGGGACCACAAAACTACATTTGGTTCCGCTAAAAACCACCCCTTTCCAAAGAAACTTGAGTTTTAAGGGTGGTCTTTTGAACTGGCGGTCAGCGTACGATGGGCTGCCTACCTCGCAGGCGAACCGGTCCAAGAACAGGCGTATCTCACTGAAAATGTCCCGGCGGCGTGAAAATCCGACGCAGAGATTGAAAAAGGATTCAGTCTGACCAATCCCAACTATTTCCAGCGATTTTAATTTTTGTCATTTTTGGCCAAATTTACAAAGGCAAATATCCTTTATTCTGTTAGTGGAAATTGATGGGTCCGGATATAGACGGAAAAGTAGTCGAATCGATAGGGGTGACCCAGGGGAACACAAAACTACTTTTCGTTCCGTCAGAGACCTGCCATGTCCAGAGAAACTTGAGTTTTAAGGATGGTATTTTAAATCTGGCGGGAAGCGTACGATGGGCTGCCTACCTCGCAGGCGAACTGGTCCCAGAAACACAGGCGTAACTCACTTAAAATGACCCGGGGGAGTGAAATTACGACGAGGAGATTTAAAGAGGGCAATTTTCCAAATAGCCAAGACTTTCAAAACGTTTAGAAAAATGACAAATCAACCAGGATTTTGACGAGGGAGGATTGCAATCGCCAGGGAAGAACCAAGGCACCACAAAAACCATTAAAAACCGAACTTTGATGCACACCAAAGGGAAGAGACAAATTGGACGTGCCTGAAGAGACAAATTGGACGTGCCTTGATTACTGTCATATGTCAACTCACCTATACTTTCTGGTAAACTGACTCCATAGACTTCTTAGCTCATGTCAAGAACATTTCTGGGCCGTGTTCCTGCAATCATATTAAATGGTACTTGTAGCGCTTTGTTTGCTTTCATTATAGCTATCAACTATGAATTAAATATAATTTAACTCATACTATGGTATAACTCAATTCACCACCAAGGAAAAAAGACTTCCGCAGAATGAAATACCGGGTTGAATTTGAAAAAATAATTCATATCATATTGGGAGTGGA